AGCAATTATCCTGTTCCACATCTTTGCTTCCCAAACAGGTAGCTGTTACAAAACCAGTCCTTCAGCCTTCTTCAAAGCTCCTCTCGATTTTACAGCTTTCAGGGGAACAGTCTCTCAAAGATGACATCAAAAATCTCTTTCTATTTCTGCAAGGACGGTGCACATCAAAAGTAAAGTGCTGGAGATTTTTGCAAGTGTTTGAGAAAGCAGAACGGTGTGCAGGTTGAGGCCAGCAGCAGTGTCCATAGGGAGTATCTATGGACACTTGGTGCAGAACTGTCCTCAAGCCTGGTGCAGCAATGAGAAGGGACAGGCAGGGAAGAGAAAGTAGAAATTATACAGGTGTCTGAATTTCCTGAAGTGTGGGGGGATTATGTACAGATCTGGAAGAATGTGTTTGGAACAGATGCGGGCTATGGCCTGTGTTAGATGACCAAAATAAATATGGTTATTATAGGCATGGGGGTAGAGGATTGTGATTCTGTTGTGTCTGTTGGGAAGTTTTCTTAAGTTTGCAGGAATTGATAGCATTCACATTTAAATCCAGCCTCCTGAGATTTTTTCCAGACTCTTTGAGTGTACTGAAATTCCCTTATTCCCTGCAGAGCAGTACAGGACAAATGGTAATTGTCTACCTAGAGTTTTACTGCTGTCTGGCTTTAAATAGCTGTTCTCAGGATTGTCTGACCCAAAGTAGGCCCAGTTATTTTTTTTCTCCTTCTTTTTGTTTTGCAACCTCTTGCATTGAATTCTGTGTGTTAAGGAAGAAAGATCACTTGAAAACATACAGAGTGGTGAAACTCATCCTTTTTATTTCTTTTGATGCTATTGCATTCATGAGACATCCACGTAGAGATAGTGGAAGAGAAAAAGAAACATTTGCGAGGGAAGTAGATTATAGTTTAAGCTTCCAGGGGATTATTATAAACAGGGAGAAAAAAAAAACTTTAAGGATTATGAGAAGTATCTTGTTACTGTGCTTTTAAGTAGAACAACAACTAATGCATTAGTTACAGAATTGTGTGAAATGTAGCTTTTTACTGGGTGCTTTACCTACAGTATATTCATCTTGCAATCAAGTCCTAAATGGTACATTATATATCCGCCCTTTTCCGTCTCCCCTCCCTCCAATAAAAGAAATAAGTTTTGTTGTAGACCTCCTTCTTCCATGAATGATCAAGAAATTCCTGTACACAGAACAGTGTCTGATGTTACAAACGTGTTTGTCCCTTCATAGGCATTTGGAGAAATTGTCTATCACTTTGTGTAATGTCAGGGCGTAAAGACCTCATCCAGTGGCATCTGTCGCAGGGATCGTGAGGGAGGGAGCAGTGTCCGCAGGGCTGCCGTGCTCCTTGGCGTTGGGCAGAGCAGTCAGGATCTCTCGGCAATAGGCAAAATAGCAATTTGGATGAAGAAGGGGGAGCAGCACGTGCCAGCTCTGCTTCTGATCTGGAATAAGGAATGGGCCAGGGATCCCGCTGTGCTTCAATCACGCATGGTTTCCCAGGCAGCCCTCACTCAAGCTATGACAAAGCTGCAATTTAGCCAACCTTCATTTACCACTTACTACTCGTTAGCAGCAGCTTTATTGTAAGATCCGTCAGTAGTCTGCTTTTGTAAGCCAGGCAAGCCTGGTGCGGCCTCGCACTTGTGATTCAAACAACTGTAATTTCAGGTTGCCAGTGCAAATTTCAGGAGTCAGGAGGAAGGATGTGCTCTCCAGGGATGCTCCTGGGCTGGGCCATGCACTGGGCTGTTAACAGACACCAGCTGTTTGGGGCTATTAAAGTTGCAGGGATGGGAATGTGTTACATGACATTGTAGGGACCAAAGATGTAAAGGAAAAAAAATTAAATGATGGGAAGAGGCTGAGAGGCGGAAATGTGATACAATTTCTGTTTATTACTTTCCAATAATAACTCTGATTTTTATCACTTGTTATTATTACTTGTTTCTTGCTATTCTCTTTCTAGATAATAGGAGATAATATTCTATGTTTTCTTTATAAATTCCCATGTGTGATTTTAGGAGTAGATTCAAACCTCAGACATCACAGATAGTGCCCCTAAATGTCCACATACGATAATCATTATTTTTTTTTGTCATGGGTACTGGTTCCAAATAAAAAGACTGTAGAGGCATTGTAGGGCAGAGTAGTCACTTCAGAAAAGACACTTTTGTTAACATGGAGTGCTGGAGGATCCTTTCCGCCTAGGAATTAAGTTTAATTTCAAGTTATAAGAAAACACTGGGGAAAAAAAAGAGACTAAAATCCCTACTATTTTTGAATTTTCATTATTCCCTCTGAGATCATGGTTTTCACTTGAACAGTCAACGCAGAAATGTAATTTTTGCTTTCAGTTACTTTTGTTATTGTAAACCACTGCTTCTGTCAAAAGTATGTACTTAATTTTAGATGTGAATGCTAGAACTAATCAATATTAAATAAACCTATCTTAATTAACAACTCTTTGAAACATTACAGATGTTGTTCCTCCTCTTTTGTACTCTCCCAGCGGAAATTTCAAATTTTGTTAATAACACTTGACATAAACTAACTCAGCTAGTTGTGAATGTAGTCAGCAGCCCTTGTTGTCTTACAGCTTTCCCTGGTGAAACATTTGGTTTGTTTTAAAGCTGAATTGTGTAGATTTCTGATATACTTTGGATTGTGACTGCAACTGTGAAAATCCTTATCATGTTGTCAGTGTCTGAGGTGGGGGTTTATTTTGCTTTAGTTAGTTTATAAAGAGTGTGAATTTGACAAGATACGATTGCTAGCTAACTTCCAGTTAGTACATATTTTAACTAGGTTCTTACTCTAATTTTTTCTCATATGTACTTTCTTAAACTAATTTTTCACAATTTATTTTTTTTAAATATTATGGAGTCCTTTTGAAGAGGTTTTCATTTATTGCCTGAGTACTCAAATCGTCTCGAATATTCAAATAGAACATAGAGCAAATTTTATTTCATAAACATTTGACCTGTAGAGCTATATAAGATTTTTCACAATAAAGTATGATATAGGAGAGACATTTTTTTCCTCTGTCAAGAGGGGAGTAAAAGCATGGCCAGTAATGATTGTGTACGTTTAATGAAAAGCTTGGTCTTATGTTTATGCCAGAGGGGCACACAGAGGGCACCTGCAGGCAAGGCAGGCACTTCATCAACTGCTTTCTGTCTCAAAAGGCTCCCATCTTGCAAACATCAGCCAGAAGGGTGGATGGGTGGGTAGTCTGCAGGTAGGTAGGTAGGTGGTAGATTGATAGATAGAGATTCATCAGAGCAAAACAATGGAAATAATGGAAATAATGATGATGATAAGTGGTATTGCCCTTTCAAATGAACAGATTGTAACCTCACCATGTCTAATTTTCTCCATAGCTGCCTTCCTTTTTAAAGTATATTTCCCTCCTTTCTAAAGATAATAAATATCTCATCCTTATGGAGATAATTTGGGAGTTTACAGTTTCCAGCCATTGTGTGTACTGGACAATTTTTCTACACCACGCTTTTCAGTGTTTTGCCTTACATAAATGAGCCATTAACCCTCATCATTACGGGAAAGTTCAAGAGAAGTGTTATACTGACTGGGAGTGACAGACTAGGCTCATGCCAGATATTAATGCCGACAGTAAAACTTGTTTGGAAAGCAAAAAAATTAACACCCAATTTCATGCTACCTGTGAATCAAACTTACATTTAAAACTTTCATGCATTTCACATAAGAGGGCCAAATAAACAAGAGCATGACCAGATGTTTTTCTGTTCTCCTCTCGTGGTGTTTCCTTCACAGACTGATCGAGCAATGTGCTCGTGAGTTCCGTGAGATCATTCCGATTTAACCTTTTAGCTGCTGCAGTACAGGTCTCTGATGCTTTTTTCTTGCAAACCTCATCCTTCTAAGAAGTCCTCAATGCAGGAGTTCCTGGGCTGAATTCTCTGCTGATCTCACCACGAGTGTATCAACTGCAGAGTTTCAGTGTCTGATGATATATGATGGGTCCAGAACAAGTGGTTTTGTTTTAGTCTTAATTAGAAACTAACATCATTACTTGAACTACACATCGACTGGAGTAGTAGTTAACATTCATTTAACAATAAATAGCACCATAAGCAACTGGAAAGGTGTGTGTCTAGCTGCCTTGCCAGAAGAATCCTGTTAGAACTTATTTTACCTGAAAACTTGAACCTCAATAAAGATATTAGAATAAGCAGCAGTTGCAGGGAGAACCTGGGCCTGAAAGGTGTTCAGTGCAGTGAGGAGGAAAGGCAGTACACAGAAACAGCTCTGGGGGCACTGGGGCCACAGGCAGCAAATAGGAACAAAACACGTATGGTGGGAAAACAAAAGCTGGAATTTCCCTGTGCCACCCTCCCAGTCCTCCCAGATTTTCCCCATACAAGTCTTCCTCCCAGTTACCTCTACACAAAACATTCCCAGCTGCCAGTCACTGTCCTTAGCTTGCATAGTGTGAGATTCCAGGGGGCTGGTTTTGGTGTATCCCAGCTTCCTCAAGTCAGCTGGAATGTTGCGTTCATATGCTGCCACGTTAGACTGTAAACTCTTGCACTGGTGTCTTACCTACCTCTAAAGACCCCCAAGTATTTCTGGCATTGTATAAATAATAAATAACTTAATTCCTTTGACCTCAGAAGCAAGTATGTTTGGCAGTTTTCCTGGTGGGCTCTGGGTCTACGACGGCCTTTGTTCTCGCTTTATCGCAGGTTGAAGAGAATGCAAATTCCTCTACATGTTTGACTAGACCTGCTGGTTTTCCTTAATGACTTAAAAAGTAGGGACAAAATAGAGGACTTTGTATACAATTTCCCCAGTGAAATATATAGCTGTATTTCATTATACATGCTAGTAGTATACAGCTAGTAGTTCTCATATACGGGTAGCGGTAGTTCATGTCTAGAGTCACAGTAAAGTACTATATTACAAAATCTGGTAACATGGCCTAAAATGATTGCATATATATTCTTTTCAGATTCTGATTGCCAGTATCATGTGCAGCTATAGCAAGGAGGACTGGACTGAACTTTCAAAAATGGCTGAGGTAATGGTTTCCTAGATGCATTTCTGCATCTGTCTTTTTTTATTCTCCTAATAAAACAAGAGCTACAATAAGGAATTTCTTCAAAGAAATAGATTTAGAGTGAAAAATGAGAATTTAAAACATGGCCATTATAATTTGTTTATTCTGTGTTTTCATTAAAATGATGGAAATGTAAATTTAAAGGAACTCTTTTCCATAAAAATTGTCCCTTGGATTTTTAAGCAGTACCTGGAAAGCCTTTAGTATTTGAATCTATATACTTTTTATTTGCATTTTAAGCAAACTCTATATTATGACGGATGCCCTGATAAAATTTAATTCTACCTTTGAGAGCCTAACTTGATCTTACCTTGCCTACAGGCACACTAGTTTGACAGCACCAGAAGAAATTTTGAATATAAAACTCTTGAATATTTAACATATAAAAGGCTCATTTAATGCTATTCTAGTTTTAATACAGGCTTTCAAAAATTATAGCGGAGAAAGCCAGTGCATAGAACAGCAGTCAGCAGACTTCCTATAATATACATCCAATCTCACATAAATGCAAACAAACTATGCACCTGAAATTTCGATTAAATTTGAAGGAAAAAAAATATTTAAAAACATGTACCTGTGTCCATAGGAAATAATATAAGAAATACTTGATTAAGACCACAGTAATTTCATTCAGAAAGGTGTCTATATCTGAGTGTAACACAAAATTGTCATTTTTAAATTAAACTGGGTGTTTTTTTCACATAGATTAAGATATCTAGAGGAAATAAAAAAGCATAGTTTCAGATCAATAAAGGAAGGTTTAAACAAATTTCAGTAAAGAAAAAAATTAGCTTGTCATTATTGCTATCATAAGCTCATATTTAAATCTTTTATAAGTATCATATATTTTTTGTATTTATATGGTTTTATATATGTGTAGATGTGGGTGTGAATATTTTGGATTTGTGTTTTCTTATGGCTTTACGTGCATGTTTGGACATTATTTCTTCTTTATTCATAGTGTCCTAAGCCCTCCTATGGTGATATGGGAAGACACTTCTCTATTTTCTTTGGGCATTTTAAACCTATGAGGAAAAAATCACTTTGGGGACTTAGGGAAGTGAAATTAAACATTATCAGTAATTGGCTTGGTAATCTTGAACACTAGTCCATTTTATACCTGTATTTACCTAATTGACCATGAAATCTTTGGTGGAATCCGTGCTTGACAGGAGCAGTACTGCTTTTAAACTAAGATGAATGGCTTTATTGTGCCATTCCCTCCTTTTTTTTTCAATCCAGTGGTACTGCTATCCAGTTTTAAGACAGATATTTTCAACCTGTGTTTGTATTTATGCTACCCCTTTAGAAAAAAGTAGTTACTTAAATGCATGCAATAAAGTGTAACCTATGTGATACAACTTTTTTCCGCAAAGCTGTTGTTAGTCTCTGCTTTGCAAAGAGCAGCACACTTGTTTGGGGCGCTCTGGAATCTGCAGCTGAAGAGCAGTGATATTTAATCGTACGTGTAGGATCCTACCTAGAAGGTAATAGATGTGGCTTTCCAAAGAGCAGAAGCCCCAGAAGGTACAGCAGTGCCTCTCAGCAGGAGGACGACCTATTCATACAAAAGGTCAGCTTGTCACGGAGGCCGACAGCACCAGCCTCCACGCGGCATGGCCGGGCTCACAGAGCTGGCCAGGATGTGGAGGGTTCCTGAAGGTGATGGATGGCTTCTCCCAGGCTCACACGCTTGGAGAGCTGTTGAACCATGGCCACACAGCAGGCAAAGTTACTCCAGTTCAATAAGCAAAAACAAAATGCAAATGCAAGAGAAAATACTAGTTACAGCCACGTCAAAGGCAACGGGAGAGATCCTCATCTCAGGCTGGAACAGCTCAGCAAGGAGGAAAAGGAGCGTGTCTGTATGCTGCCCTTGTACACCTTGGCTCCTTTGCCTTTGTTTTTTTAGTTGCCTTTTTAATTGTAGCTAATAGAGGGTGCTGAAGAGAAATTAGCATGAATAATATGTTTGTGTAGACTTTTTTTAATACCGTCTTGTTCGACTTCAGAAACAAACAGATTTAATGACAAAAGCTATGGCATAGTAAAGGCATCTGCAGAAAATTTACAGACTAAATTTATTAAAGCAGCAAGGGGAAATTTACCACTGAGTCACAGTTCTTCAGAGCACAGAAGCACCTGGGTAACACTGACTACTGAACCTCACTCTCAGTCCGGCCCGAAGGCCCTGCGATTACATTTCATTTGTTAACATTTTCCAGAACCAACTCCGTATTGTACTTGTCTCTTTTTAATTATTTTTTTTAACTTTCATTTCCTTTGTAATTATGGGAAGCCACATCAGTTTTTAAAATTTCTCTCTGTAATGATCAACACATTGCTTTTTCAGGCTATCATGTCTGTAGCTTTCTCTCTTTAAAAAAAAAAAAAAAAAATCAAATGTCTAAAAAAATCTGTTTAAAATGAAAAGAAAATGATAGGATGCTGGTGCAGATGCGCTGGAGTTAAATTTATCCTGTCCTCATGGTATGGGGGAGAGAGGCATGGGCCTGGCCTGTGGGCAGGTAGGACTGTAACTGCAGCCTCTTTCATGTCTCTTCAGCAATCCTGCACTACCACATTGATAGTTACACCTCAGGGGTAAGACACAAGCAGCAGATTACTAGCTTGTGATTTTTAGGTTGAATGGATTTAAATATTTAGTGCTGAAAGCAAAAAAACTGAAGAAGCTGAGAATATACCAAATGCTTAGTTTTGCTGAGAAAAATACCACATTATGTTTTTGACAAGGAACAAGATGAAAACAAATAATTTCCAAAAAGTTCTTGGACAGAATTTGTTGATTGTCATTTCAGTGCCCTATAGATATCTTTTAGATCACAACCTGGTAACTACTGTACGTGTCAATAATGATTTTGAAGGACATGGATATAGACACATTTCATTTTACAACTTTTAGCGCATGAACCTAGCTGTATTTTAGAATCACACAATAGGGCATACATTGTGGTACTGCCACCTACAGTTAACCTCTTCTCTTATAAGAGCCTGCATTCGGTAACCTATAGATTTGATGGTTTATACAGTTTAGGTTGGAATTATCTGTGCCTGATGTCTCTGCTGTGTAGAAATCTGATGCAGAGTTTATCAGTATGTCCCGTGACTTCAGTTAGGAGAATGTGTGTTGTTTTGCCCATTAAAAGAAAACAAACATGCACAAAAGCCAATTCTCATACTCATATCCTTTTGAAGTTTTCAGATTTTTGCATCTTTTGGTCATGGTTTGAAATTTGTTTTAGCTCTGAAACATGCCCAAATGTGGTGATCTTGGAAGTCTCTGAAAAAATCTTCATTCACAGTCTACTGGGAGAAATTTTCTACAGTTTGACTGTCAAAGTTTCAGAAGTCTGAAACCTGATTTCCTATCTTACTACATTGTGGTGAGAGGTGAAAAAGAACAGGAGGGATATGCAGAGTGGGAATCATGATTACGTGCCCTAAAATCAACACATACTATTCAGTTGATCCCCTTGGGGAGGGCTAGTGGACATCTTAATTCATCCTCACTTCCTCAGTTAAACACAAAACTTTTGAGAACCAAGGTGTGGTTAGATAACTAAATCATTAACTTTCTAAAACTTTTAGTAGAGAGGCAATAGGAGCTGTAATCATTTCAATGCAACTGTGGACACACTTCAGACGAAGCTTTATTAGAGCAATGCTGTCAGGCACAGTGCATGGGATGTTTCATTATTTTCTGTGAGCAAAATGATGTCAATCTGTTTAATGCTATAGATTGTTATTTTTAATGAAAATAATCTAGCTGCTTTTCATGGCCAGTGGTCATTTACTGAAGTTATGATTAAAAATCGGAGAGGAGAAAATTATAAGAACACTCCAGGACCATACTAGCAAAATGGTAATAGTTATTATTAATTTTTTTCCCTGAATTGCATTCCACAACGAAGAGCTATAGTATCAGTTATTATATGTTTATGAAGCAATTCCCACCCTTCACTCTGCACAGCGTAACTCAGCAGTTTGGGTTGTCCCCATCAGAGATGGCAGCATGCTGTAGAAGGGTGCGGTTTGGTCATGGAGAGCCCTGAATGTTTCACGTGGAAGAAACAGGCATATCGTTTCAAGCATATGCCTCTTTTTTTACCCTTTTTTTTTTTTTGTTATGCATATGTTAATTTCAGCTTTCACTGGTTGGAATAATATATGCATGTGATATTGCTTAGATGTGTAGTCAGTAGGGAGCTGTCTGCCTACATGAGTTTTTACATATCTTTCAGCTATTGTAAAATCAGAGAACCAAATGCAAAATCCAGGCACTCAGGGCTATCGTGTGTATTTGTGAGTCTCCTTGGAGAAGATCAGATCCATAAAGCAGGAAGATAATTACATTATATATACATATATATTTGTATAATAATAAAATTTTCTCTTCCCCATACAATATGGATATTCTTTTGAATGTTTAATATATACTACTCTTGTTTAAATATATTCTTGTGTTTCCTTAACTGAGTCACCAAAATGAGAGCTCAGAAAAGAATCTACTTCTTTAGACAAATAAATGAATAAAACAAGCCATCTTTAGAGGGCCAGATCCTGAGGTTCTTCCTCAGAGTTGGCTAAGATTAAATTATAGTGGCTTTAAATTAAGTTTATCGAAGCAAAGAGTGAGGATAAACTGGATAAAATAACAACATGTGCGAGCAGATTTATCAGTAGCCCTTCAGGGGGCTTGCACATGTGGTGGCCCCTGGATGCCCCATCATAAGACAGAAAAGTGCTAGGAAGCATTTTGGCTCTACTCCTAATTCCCTCCTTCCCCGTCCCCCCCACCCCGGGCTGAAGTCAAATAGGTCATACATAGGTGGTGTGGGGAAGAGAGAGCTCAGATATGCTCTGGAAAAAAAACACCACTCGATATCTAGAAGACAGGACATGAGGCTTTGAGAGACAGAGCAGCTTTCCTGGTTGTACAGTTAAGCAAGTTTTCTTAAATCTTTTTGATAACATTATCCACGTCTTCATAGGAAAAGATTAGATCCCTTTTCATGCCCAAGCACATTAAATCCTCAGGAAACTACAGAAATTTCTGAGATGAAAAATAATGGCAGAAAAACATGCATGTGTATTTTTACTGTTTAAAATGTTCTGCTTTTTTGTTGTTTTTGTTCAAAAAAAAAAAAGGGAAAGGAAAGGTTAATTACACTGTCTACTTTTTCTGCTCATTTCAATTCCTATGGTGCGCCTAAGGGTAAGTGTAGAAATCTGGGAACATCAGATTTCTTTTTTCTGTATCCTATTTTATTATCTACTCTAAAACACTTCCACTGTTTTCTACGCCCTGTAAATTTTAAAAATTCCAGATATATCCAAATTATGTATATAAAAAATTGATACTAAGAATGGCTGTTTGTTTTATACTGAATTACAGTTCTTAGCTTTTATTTGATTTTAATTCCAAGTCATTAGTGCAGACACTCTGGCGCCCAAACAGCATAGCTAGCCAGAGGGTAATATTAAGAGGCATCTGTATTGCTGCCAATAAGTTACTTAAAGCTGGTTCTGTATAAAATGTCAATTATATTTACTAATGCTGATTAATGATAATAAAGTTAAGGTTTGTATTCTTTCATAACAATCTGCAACTGTATAAAAGTTGGATATCATTAAAAATCATAATAGAATTTCCGTCATTAGGTTTAACAGCACTAACAGCAGTAATGCATGGATTTTCTTTGAATTAGATAACATAAGTGTACAAAACATTTAACAGTAAACATAAAGACGATGTGGTGAACAGCAGATGATTTAAAAAATGACAGTATCGCTTTCCCACTGTAGTCTATTACTGTAGTAATTACAGCATAAAATTATGAAAATAATAAATCAATCAATCATCTGAGACAGTAGCACTCACGTTTTGATGTCTAACTTGTGGTGTTGTATTTGTGTTTGTGGTTCACTTTTTGTCTCTTCAGTGGAGAGATGTGTTTTGATTTTTTTTTACTTATCCTTCTTAAAAATGGCATTAAATATTCAGAACCATTACTGTGATGTGAAATCAACAAATGTAAGTGTTTGGCTTTTTGGTTTTGGTCCAAAAGTCAGAAAGTCTCTCTAGTGGCTATGGTAAGAATGAATAAATAGTTTTATTCAGTGCATAACTGGGGTTTTATTTTGCATTCCTGCCAGTTTTGTGTCATTCTTTGTTGTTCAGATAAAACCCCAGGTCTACTAAGTGTAGTGTGCATATACCTAGAATCATTAAAATAAGACCAACTAGGACGAGTGATATCCAAAGTCTTCAGAAATATCAGTGAGTCTCCTTGGCCTAATAGGGACTGAAGAACAACAGAAGGAAGAAAATGGCAGCCTGCAGCTGCTTGAAAGGTAGTAACAAAGATGCTGGAAGAGTAGCTACAGAGAGGGAAAGATGATTTTCTGTAGTGTCAGATGATACAGCAAGGGGAAATGGCCACAAATTGCAGGCTGAACGTTTCAGGTTGGGCATCAGGAAAAAAAGTTACCAAGAAGGTGATGCAGCACGGGAAGATGTTGTCTAGTAGGGCTCTGTGCTCTCCATCTCTGGGGTTTTCAGGGCTCAGGCAGGCAAAGCCGAGGCCAATTTCAGCTGGTGTTGGTGCTAGTCCCACTCAGAGCAGGGGCTTGGACTAGCTGCCCTCCAGAAGTCCATTCAGACTCACATTTCTGTGACTCTGTGGATTCACCCTGCTCAGTTCCTATCCAAAGGTACTGCATTGTTTGTACCAGGGGTGGAAGATGAGTAGTGGGAAGCACAAGGACTCACCTGCTCACTTGGGATGAGATGATAAGTATCATGGGGAGATCTCATCAAAAGCAACACATCAGTTAAATTTCCAAAGCAAAGAGGATGCTTGTGTACTTTTTGAAAAAACAAATCTCATGTTCAGAGATCTCAGCCTAAGTGCAAGAACAGAGATTTTTTCTGCTGTAAGCAAATATTTTAAAAGTTAATAGCATTGTGGCTTATAAATATTTCTCTTTAATTAGTCATACCTTCTAACCTTCAAAAATACAAAAAATCTTTGCCTATCTCAGCATTTAAGCAATAGGTTTTGGGGGTTGTTTGCTTTTTTTAGTTTATATTGAAAGAGGCATGAGAACTGAAATCCAGATCCTGATGGTTTAACTATTCAGATCATATGTAAAATGTCTTACCTTTATTTTCATTTTGCTTAAACTGTACTTGCTACAGCCTCTTCTGCTGGCTGTGCTCATGTTTATTGCCAGCAATTAGGAGGCAAGTTTCGTAAAAGCCCACAGTGCCTTATTCAGAAGAAGATAAATCTGTCAAAAACAAAAAGCAAAAAACCCAAAAGCCCTGGTTACTCTGCAAAGATGAGGACTGGCTGCGTGGCGCAATTAGATTTGCTCTGCTGTAGCTTGGAAACAGGAAAGATGAGGCTGCTTTTTAATTGAAGTGCACAGCATAGCATGCTAATTCGCTGTTACTCTGCCAGCAAGAAGCTTGAAGTATTTTAAATAAATGATGCCCCAAACA